CATCTTGCTGAGTTAACTAGCTTGAAAAAAACTGAAGTTGAAGTTAAAAAAGCTACTCTTGAGGAGAAGAAGCAGAGAAATCGTCGGAAAGACTATGATATTTTAATGAAGGACACAAGCCACATTACCCAAGAGCAACGTATTTCTCATGAAAAAATGTGTCAAGTAATTCGAGAGAGATGGAATTTTTAACGTTGTATTATCTGTTTTAATAATCCTTGTATTTCTGTATGTTCTGATTGGAGGTATTCAACTTTTAGCTTGTATTTCATTTAAGTTGTTCTTGTTCTTGTTAAATTGTTAGTCCTCCTTTCATTAAATTGACCCATGTATTGTATGTTAAACAATATGACTAATCAACTTGCTGGTCAAAATAAATATCAGAAGATAAGATATGACTCTGAAAAGTTAATCGATTTACTGGCACAAATAGGCATTTCAGAAGATAAGGCATGGGTTGTGGCACGTTTATCAACTTGATAACTCAATTAATGTGTCAGAAAATAAAGTATGGGTCATAAATGACAACTATATGCAATAGTTGTCTATAATAATCAATTTGCTGGTCAAAATAAAACATGTCAGAAGATAAGATATGGCTATTAAAAGTTAATTGATTTGCTGGCACAAATAAGCATGTAAGAAGATAGGCACGGGTTGTGACACGCCTATATATTTGATGACTCAATTAATATGTCAGAAAATAAAGTATGGGTCATGAATGACAGCTATACTCCGTAACTGTTTATAATAATCAATTTGCTGGACAAAATCAGTATGTCAGAAGACAAGATATGTGTATGAAAAGTTAATCAATTTGCTGGCACAAATAAACATGTCAGAAGATAAGGCATGGACTGTGCTTATCAATGTGATAACTCAACTAATGGTTAATATACATATACATTGATGTCTATATATTCACAGCAAACTCACATATTTTTTTCTCATTTTTCAAATCATAATTAGACACTTTATATTCAATTAAAATCCTAAAAAATGTCTCAAAATTCATATAGGTCCGAGTCTAATTCGTCATCATCCACCGATAGTGAAGATGGTGACGACTCTAACGATTTAGAAGTTTAAATGATTTCATCAATTGTTCAATGAAGCCACGAGTTACTTCAAGCATACCAACATGAAATTGAAGTTTGTAGAAGAAGAAAGTTCATCCAGAGAAATCGAGAAGATGGGTATAACAGACTTGTAAGTGATTATTTCTCTGACCATCCAGTCTACCCGGATCATATATTTCGTAGGCGTTTCCGTATGCGAAGAGAATTATTCCTTCGAATTGTGAATGCACGTCAGACACGTTCATCATATTTCCAGCAAAGCACTGATGCAACAGGAAGACAAAGTTTGTCATAACTTCAAAAATGCACAACAGCCATTCGTCAATTGGCTTATGAAGTCCCAGGTGACCATCTTGATGAGTATTTACGTATGGGTGAGTCAACTGCTATCAAATGTCTTTTTACATTTTGTGAAGGTGTGGTTGAAATTTTTGGAGATGAATATTTTAGAAGACCGAACAGTATTCAAAGACTCCTCCAAATGCATGAAGAAAATCATGGTTTTCCGGGTATGCTTGGAAGCCTTGATTGTATGCATTGGGAATGGAAAAATTGTCCAGTTGCTTGGAAAGGTCAATTCACAAGAGGGCATGGGTCTCCTACGATTGTCCTTGAAGCGGTTGATTCACACGATTTGTGGATATGACATACCTTTTTTGGTATTGCAGGATCACGTAACGATATCATATTGTATGAATCTCCTCTATTTAATAATGTGTTGCAAGAAAATGCACCAAACATTCATTTTACTGTCAACAACACGCAATATGCAAATGAGTATTATCTTACAGATGGAATATATTCAGAATGGGATACGTTCGTAAAGTCTATTCCTTGCTCGTCAGATCCAAAAAGAAAGTTATTTAAAGAAAAACAAGAAGCTGCTCGAAAAGATGTGGAAAGAGCATTTGGGGTGCTTCTGTCTCGATTTGTAAGAGGTCCTGCTCGATTTTGGTATAGAAGAAAATTGAAATTTGTTATGTTGACATGCATTATTCTACACAATATGATTGTTGAAAATGAAGGAGTTGTAATAACACATTGGCACAATGACGAGGATGAAGAGCCCGCACAACCTGTCAGGGTTCAAATCGAGAATTTCAAAATTATATCCGTAGAAGTTCAGAGATACGAGATAACACAGTGCATCATCAACTTCGTGCCGATTTAATTGAGCATATTTGGACTTATTTTGCCAACAACTAAAAAAAGTAATTGTAGCATTTTTTTCTTGTGTAATCCTAATTTATGTTATTTTGGTCTTGTAGTGTTTTTTTTTTATTTTCATTTATTTAAAATTTATTGTTATAATTTAAAAGTATTAATTTTTTTTATTGTGGATAGAATATAAAAAATTATATTGAATGAGTGGATAATGGGTAGCACTGTCAAACGGGCCGGTCCGGCCCGGCCCGCTCCGGCCCGCGCCGGCCCGCAGTTCAAACGGGGCGGGCCAAAATGGCCCGCATTTCTACGGGCTGGGAAATCCATGGCCCGTAGCCCGCCCGCATTAGCCCGCGGGCCAAATCGGCCCGCCCGCGGTTTTTT